ATGGAAGAAGACGATGATTTTCATTGTCTATCCCAAACATATAGTGTTTTTCATTTTCCTCCAGAAAATTCTGTAAAGCTAAAGTTATACAACATGGTTAGTGTAAACTTTGTATATTAACTAAGTGTCTGACACTGGGAAAAATAAGGAATTAATCTTTAGTGCTTACTGTACATCAGAAAGAATAGTAAAAGTTTTTTAATCACTACCTCATTTATATTTAGTATTCCTTGTAAATAAAGGTTTTTTTTTTAATTCTTTGTTCATAAAAGATGGAAAAGATGATAGAGTTTCAAATTTTTATAACCAAAGAAGATGGGTTATATTTAGAAATAGTTAAATTCATTGTCAAAATCATACAGCTGCTACTGTCGCCTGGAGCTGCCCACTGCTAGCTATGGTTAACTGAACCATAGACTTCATCTTTGCTGTCAACTGTGAGCCCTTGGGCTGCATCTCTTTTGAGCTGTTTGTACACACAGTTTCAAAAACAGCAGGAAACTTTTATACTCTGACTACCACAAAAGAGAAAGAATTTGGTTCTAAGACTCCCTGGTTACTCAAAGTATTGCAGGATACAGGCCTGGGCATTCAGGAGACTGAGGCAGGAGGGTCACAACTTCAAGGCCAGCCTGAGATAAATAACATGATCCTATGTATACCACCCCAAAAGCAAGAATCTCCCCCAAAGAAATATTTCAGGATCTTTTTATGCGAGGATGCCAGGATTGTGACTTTGACACCATAATAACACTAGAAACATGTCCTCTCCATCCAGAGGTAGGATGAGGAAACTCTCAGAGGAGAAAGCTTCATCTGAAAATACACAGGTTCCAGCATTTTGTCTGGAGAAGATGATAATCCAAAGGTAACATAGTTTTTCACTGGTGATGTCAAGACAGAATGGCTACATGACAGACACTCAGACTTTTACATGAAAAGCAATAGATGTGATAGAAGCTATGGAGCACTTCGGGCTTAGGAATGGACAAACCAGCAAGGAGATTGCCATAGTGAGCACAGCTAACTTTAATTAATATATCTGATTAATTTATCTAAGTTGCAAAACCATCCCTTCTGTAGCTCAGGACTGTGCTCTTTCATACCCCCTGCTTTCGGTATGCTGAAACTTTTGTGCTTGTACTTTATAGTTCTTCCGGTCTCATATGTTCCTTACATCTAGTTGTATTGTAGAGTTAAGTTTGTGATTATATAATAAAAACTCTGCAAAAACTAAACAAATAAGTTTACTGCAAGCTAGACGACAGTCTGATTTTCTCTTGGTGTTTGAGCATACTCCCACAGCCTTAATGAGCGTTAAATTTTATATCCTGTTGCTTTCTTTTTTGTTTTAAGAACATGGTACACTTTATTTTACATAGAGTGCATTCTGTGTTTCCTTACAGAGACTGCATGGTGCTTGCCACTACTCCTGACTACTGAAGCACTCTTGCCTTTTGCTGATCTACAGGTAATAGAAGATGCCTCCGGAAGACATTTCTCTGAAGTTATAATCGGATATGCTATGGACTTTTATCACAAGTCATCCCAATGCAAAGTGGCATGGGATTTACTGCAGTTACAGGAAATGCAAATTTGATCTGGTGTGACAAGTTTAAAGCTCTCTCCAGCTGCTGGTGTTATAGAAGTAGTTCACTGTTTTGAATGTTATTTTGAGTAGCTACTTTCTTGGGCAGTGTAGGTTAAGTGCTTGCAGAAATAGTGTTGTTCTTGTGTGTGAAAATCCTATTTATCTTCTTACTGAAAAGATAGATGACACAAATGTCGTATGCTCCTGAGGTTAGGACATCTAAATGTCATGTGTTCCTGCGGTTAACACATCTAAGTGATAGGATGTTTCCTTGTATGAGTCCTTGTCTCAAAGTTCACTTCTACCCAGGAACAAGGCAGGCACTTAGAGTTGGGTTGTTGTCTGACACCTTCTGCTCATCCTGATTATGACTTCCCTGGTTCTTATGAGGGAGCTCTACCTGAAAATGACTTTTAAGAGCAATCAGCCAGTAGAATGTCTGAGTTCTAATTTGAATGTCTGCTAGTTTTGCAAGGTGCTTCACTTTTTCCTGCTGGTTATAAAAGGTGAAATGATAATAATATGTCAAATTATAATAAGTGATATCAATACATATAAGATTATTTAGCATTATGTATTACTCAAAAGCTGAAACCTTTAATAAACTTGAGGGATGAGTGAGCCAGACGTGTAAGAGAGACACAAAACCAATGAAACATAACGTGGACCTAAGGTATTTGCAGAACTGATCTCAGAATGGCCATTCTTCTTTCAATGGTTTAGATAATAGACTGCTTTGCTTGTTTACTTGTGTATGTACAGTGGTTAACTTTGAAATGTGATGTCTGGCTAACAAATGTTATTATTGGGTGTGTGCCTTACATTATAAAGAGTAATGACAGAACAGAACTATAAAAGGAGAGTGTTGCCAGGCAGTGGTGGCGCATGCCTTTAGTCCCAGCACTCAGGAGGCAGAGGCAGGCATATCTCTGAGTTCAAGGCTAGTGTGGTCTACAAAATGAGTTCCACGATGTCCAGGACTACACAGAGAAACCAGGTCCAGAAAAAAAAAAGAAGAAGAGGGTGCAAAGAGTGCACATACAACTGCACAACCTGCTGAGCCTGTCTAGGCGTACCATAGATGAATGCTTGCAAGTGTGCATCTACATCAGAATGTAGCCCAGTCAAAGAAAACTGTATACAAATTGTACATAACTTGCTACAAGTTAGGACTTCATCAAAACCTGAGCATTTGCTCACAAACTTGTTTATAAATAAATAAATAAATAAATAAATAAATAAAGATAGCAGACCTGCAGAATCTATTAATGTTAATGAACACATTGACAGAAATGTTTTTAGTACTGAACCTAGCACTATAAATTTCTAGTAGATTCTTTAGAACTCTATGACTACCTGCCCTGTCTCCATGTATTTCCCTTCACTAAAATTGTGTTCCACAGAATAGGGGGCCTGCAAGAGTGCACAGAGCAAGGTTCTAGAACCTGAAGACATGAAGAGTAATGGAAATGTCACAAGGGAACAAGGTTACTGTCCATCAGTAACCAAGCAGAAGCCAAAAGTATCAGGTACTTAGAGGATGGTAAGAAGTAATGCATCCTTTTCAGACTGTGCAGGGTATTTAGCAAGTATCTTTTCTATTCCCTTGTGTATAGATAGGTATGGCTTACATTAACACATCTGCCTTTGCTTTTAATTCAAGCCAATTTACATTCCCAATCCTGTGAGACCGCCATAGTCTTGCATGCCATTGAGGCTTCTTAGTATCATAGTCACTAAAGTTATATTCCACTCTGAGCCTGGGGCTTAGTGTTTTGGCCCCTCAAATGCAGTTGCCTTTGAAGATCACCTATGTCCACAAAGAAACCTGCTACATACCCTCAAACACTACATTAGTCTATACTAAACAGTCACAGGAGCTCCATAGATACCCGTTGATGCTGTTGTCATCCTTTAAAAAGGGACTCATGGAGCATCTGTTACATACCTATACATGTGTTACACAGAACATATGCAAAGGTAAGATAAACTAAACTCTTGCCTCTGTGGGGCTTGGGGAGGTGGAAGGAAATGAGTTCAGTTAGGTATGTAGCATAGTGCAGCTAATGTTGGGCCTAGAGGGAAGGCTTCAGGCATAGTGAAGACAGGCCCCACCTGTTTGTATAACTGTTCTTCTAGGATTCCATGAAGAGCAGAAAGGCACTTGATTCCTGTCAGTTGAGTAAACAAAGCACTTCTGAGAGGGACCCAATTAAATTGAGGTACTGTTTCTTCTTGGCCTAGGCTGTGTGTATAAGTACAAAGTGAACTCTGTGGTTGGTGGTTTCTGTTTCATATAGCCAAGACCTAGGTCAGAGTCTATGTGGGTGGATGTGAGGGAAAGCCTATAAGCACATATTCACACTTGGGTAAAGCTTCTGGGTATAGGGAACATAGAATGCAAAATCTTTGCTTGGATTTTGCTGTTGTTGTTTGTTTGTGTTTGGGGGTTTTTGTTTGTTTTTGGTTTGTTTTTTTGGTAAATCTAGGCTTGTGTTTTACCTAAGTATGGGATTCTTAGAGGTGAGTGTTGGCTTCAGTCACTATATGAGGTATAAGCCTGTAGTTTGTTTGATGGACAAGATATTATCGTAAACACTTTGCAAAATAAAATCTGGGCATGTATTCTTGTCTGTGATTCAATGTAATTGTGTCTCAGGCAAATTGAAGTTGGGTAAAAAGCAAAGTCTGGGATGGCATAGGTGAGTTAAGTGTGGGTTTTGGTGAGATAATTACACAATTACTTTTGTAATTTTGTAATGAGAGGATTTCCTCTTTCCCCAGCACGTGCGTGTATGTATGCATATTTGTGCACGTGCCTGTGTTGAAGGTTTATATGTAACACGATTCAAGAATGTGTTATGTGAAGGCAAAGGTTCATGAGGCTGACTCTGGAATAGGGTGTAATTTTGAGATTGGATGATGCAGTATAGGCTGTGGTTAGGGCCACGAGTTTGTGATAAGTTTGAGTAGTTAACTTCCAGATACAAACATCTTGGACAATTTGCTTTGCTTCCACGAAAGGATCAAAAAGTAAAGTGTGTGTGTGTGTGTGTGTGTGTGTGTGTGTGTGTGTGTGTGTGTG